CAAAGGTCAGCTGGGGCCAGTTTGTGGGAGACCCGAGAGGGAGTCTAAGGCGCCTCGCCAGCTTCCCGGGGGTTTTGTGAAAGTACAGGAAGAAAAGCAAACATTCCCTCCCTCGGGCTCCCCAGCTCCTCCATAAATGTGCTCTCACCACTACCGGGCAGGTGCAACAAAGTTGCCATTAAGATGGCACTTTGCCCAACTGCACTAAGCAAAAGCGAGCCCATAAGTGACTGCTGACATCAACCGCCCCCCCCTCGACTCCCGCCACCAGTTTCTCTGAGTCAAGGAGTCCCTCAGGGTGGATGCCGAGGGGGGGTGATGGAGCCTGGGTGCAGGAGCATCTGAAAGCCCCACTGAACCGGCTTTGTGTGGTCAGATGTGAATCAGACCCGGACAAAACGTCAGGAAGATCGGCTCCACCCTGGAGCCCTGGCTGGTTGGGACTGTGGTCCCAGGTGCACTCCTCACCCCACCCCCAGCTTTGGGAAGCTGAGGCTCCCTACACACACACACACACACACACACACACACACACGTTATGCCCCGGGCAGGGAAGTGAGGCAGAGGTGGAAAAGGGGGAAATGGGAAAAGTTGAAAGGGAAACTGCCCCTTCCTTTCTCCTATTATTGCAATGATCTATTACAGGCTCCCGATCCGCCCCCACCTCGCCCCCACGTAGAAAGCCTGCATGCTGCCAACCACCAACATGCGGCTGTGTTCACTGGGAAGACAGGTGGCACCCATGTGCAAGCCCGTCTCAGCCACCCTGGGAAGCCAGCAATAGAGCATATAATTAGAAGTAGGCACAAGGATCCAGTTTAAAAAATGCAGGGTCTCTCAGATCTCTGCTCAGTCACAGCAGAATTGGCAACTGAAATTCTTTGCTGAGAGCAGCCCCTGGTCCTGGGCATCCCCAAGGCCAGTCCGCAATCCACTGCACTGCTGTCCCCCCAACCTCTTTTTCCAATTTTTTATTGTGGTCAAGTACACATAAAATCTACCACCTTAACCATTTTTAAGTGCACAGTTCAGTGTTATTAAGTACATTCATATTGTTATGCAACTGTCACCACCATCCATCTCCAGAGCTGTTTTCATCATGCAAATCTGAGACTCTACTCCCGTTAAACAATAAGACCCCACGGCCCCCCTCCAGCCCCAGGCAAGCACAATCCTACTTTCTGTCTCTATGATTTCGACTGGTCTAAGTGGAATCACACAGTATTTGTTCCTTTGCTGTAACTGGCTTATTTCACTTGGGCTTAATGTCGTCAAGGTTCATTCATGTTGTAGCAAGTGTCAGGATTTCCTTCCTTTTTGAGATTGAGTGATTTTCCATTGTATGGATAGAGCACATTTTGTTTACACATTCATCTATTGATGGACCCTAAGGCTGCTTCCACTTTTTACTCTTAAGACTAATGGTGCTATGAACATGGGGGTACAAATATTGAGACCATGCTTTCAATTCTTTTGGGAAATGGAATTGCTGGATCATATGGTAATTCTATTTACTTAATAGAATTTATCTATTTTTAATTTAAAAAAGTATATATTATTTATTTATTTATATTTTTGGCTGCATTGGGTCCTCATTGCTGCTGCGTGTGGGCTTTCTCTAGTTGTGGCGAGCGGGGCTACTCTTCGTTGCCGTGCGCGGGCTTCTCATTGCGGTGGCTTCAGTAGTTGTGGCTACTAGTTGTGGTACGTGGGCTCAGTAGTTGTGGCTCGCGGACTCTAGAGCGCAGGCTCAGTAGTGGTGGCGCACGGGCTTAGCTGCTGCTCCGTGGCATGTGGGATCTTCCCGGACCAGGGCTCATACGTACCCGTGTCCCCTGCCTTGGCAGGCGGATTCTTAACAACTGCACCATCAGCGAAGTCCCAAGTTTTAATTTTTCTGAAGAACCTTCACACTGTTATCCACAGCAGCTGTACCATTCCACATTCCTGCCAACAATGCACAAGGGACCACTCCGTCTGCCGCTCCATAGGGATAAGTGTGAACGACAGCCTCAAACACACGCCTGTTCCCGGCAAAGGCTTGAAACGCGGTTGATTCTGGGAGCACAGCTGCTGCATGGAAGTCAACAGTAGCTGAGGACCATGGACGGGGAGCTGGGGTCGGCCTGCCCAGCCCTCCCAGGCTGGCCCGGGTGTTCAGCGGACAAATGAGATGCTGCAAAGAAAGCTGGAAAGGCGCCGTGCATCCCAGGTGCTCAGGCCCAGAGAAGCGCCCTGTGGAGGTGAGGAGTTTAGGAAGAGAATATGCGGCAAAAGGACCTGCTGCAAAGCTGGGAGCGGTGGCCCGCCGCACGACGCCCGCCCCAAGCCCATGTAATGGCACAGAGGGGCCCAGCCGGGGCTCTGGGTCACACACTCCCGGCTCTGACACTCTGTTCTCGACCAGGGTTCTTGGACTTACCCGACCAATAGAAATTGATTAGAGGTCAGACAAGAAATTCAGGCCAGGCTTTATTGGGGCCCCTGCTGCGGCAGGAGAGAGAGAAAACAAGTAACAGTTTCCCTTGCTTGCACCCCGAAAAGGGGGGAGCCGAGCTGGTTCCTTATATGGGGTGAGGGTGGGGGTGTGTCTGGGGATCCAGCTGGAAGGGTGGCTTAGGTGGTCTGCCCACCCCACTGGTGGTGCTGTGCGCAGGGGGCACGCACAGTGCCCTGCTTTTGCTCCTGACACCGTTTTTGCTCCCAGCTCTTCAGAAGCGGCGGTTGGGTTTTGGGGGTCTTTTTGTCCAGAGTTTGCCGCAACTGCCCAGGCATGCAGTTATTTTTAGTCCCTTATAGTTTCTTTGCATTTTGTTGCTTGAGGAGACGTGTGTCCAGGTGTAAGCACTGCAGCAAAGGGCCCCAGGTCCCAGCCTGTCTCAGCTCCAACTAAGTCCTTTCTCTCTCTCTGCACCTCTGTTCTTTTATTTACAAAATGACCTCATAAGGTTATTATGAGGTTTAACAATTAATGTGAATACTTGGGACAGTCCTTGGTACACTGGAGATACTCAATAAATGCCACTCGTTATCAGCAACCTTAGAAGCAACGACCTTTAAAGGGAACTTTGGAGACTCGAGCAGGAAGGCCTGTCCTTGGTCCTGAAGAGCAGCAAGGTCACCGCCGCCGGAGGGGCCCTGGGACATTCATTCAATAGCCCTGTCTTTCAATCCTTGATACTGAGACCTGCTCCGGAGCACTCCCCGCGCATAACCCAGCCAGAAGGTGCTGTTAGGTACCCTCGTCATTCCCAAAGTTGATGAAGCTGGACACGGTGTGCATTTTAGTGCCAGTGGTTTATTTCTCCCCCAGGTGAGGGCACACATGTATCAAGCAGAGGTGTGCCCACGTGGCCCCTTCAGGAACCACCCAAGGGATTCTAGTTTAGTTTACACGCATTAAAAACAACTCTAGTCGCCAACGAGTGTTAAGAAGCACCGCCTTGATGTCGCCAAGTCCTGTCCGCACGTGACGGGCCTCACGAAGGTGGCTTCACGGCGCACGTATGTACAGGTGAATGGGGGAGACAGAGTCCCGGAGGCCCTGTGGCCCCGCTGTCGTGGGGGCTTGGCTGGGGGCTGAGAACCACTCTGCTGTCAGTGTTCTGACCAGAAGGCGGCGCTTCCAAAATGGAAATGGAGCCCCTGTCCACAGCCACACTACCCTGCGCCCCTGCTTCGGTGTGCAGGGCTGCGGAGGCTCCCGGGTCGTGCACTCTTCGGCGGCAGGAGGTTGGAAGCACCAAAGACCCTAACCCTGGATCCTCAGCGGGAAGGATGGTGGGTCATTATTTTCTCCTGGTCCACAAGCTCCTTCTCACCCAGCAGGCGTAGGTCAGGGGCTGGGGGACAATGGGGTGGGGACGGGATGGTGGGAGACGTAGGGAAGACACCTGTCTTCACATCAAGACACAGTCAGCCCACTCTGCTAAAACCTTTTATGACAAACTTTCCTGAAGACAAAAGCGGGGGTGGGGGGATGGGGGCGGGGAGAGTTGACCTGGGCATCGAGCCAGTCTCCTGGACCAGACTCTGTTCCTGTTCAGACTTGCCTCTTAGAGACTTTGTTCTCTCAAAATGCCTCCCTCGGGGTGGGATGAACCCACAACCCCATCAATCAATATCTTGGGACAGGATGTCTCACTGATCTTTATTTTGGTAGACAAATCAGGTGGGAGGGATGAACCCCACATCTATAGTAAAAACCGGCTGTGCTGTGAGTTCCAATTCTTTGGATAATCAAAACTCTTTAAAACACTGGCAAAAAAGAGAATTGCTTTCAAAGTGTCTGTGAATACCTGAGACTGTCCCTATCCGCGGTGAGCAAACTCACAGCAACGATTCTGGAACGGAGGTGAGGCGACAGAGGGTTGCAGAAAGACAGGCCCACCCCTGCCACCTGGAAGCCCACCAGGCACGAGGCTCTGGTCCCCCAGCCTCCTATGCAGAGCCTGCCAGTGCCTTCCCTTGGTGGCACAGGAAGAGTCCACCTGGCCCCGGGAGACGGATTTGGACAGTGTCTGGTCTCATCAGGGATGTCATCTCCTGATCCGCCCTTCCACCTTTACCTGTGGGGAAATGGCACCCATCCGAGCAGCCAGGAGGAGGCATAGTCCAGGCAAGGGGACCCTCAAGCCTGACCCGGTCCTCCTCACTGTCATTCACCACCTGGTGAGGGTGGGACGCAGGTGCAAACTGAACCAGGCTCCCAGCTTAGGGACGGCCAAGCACCTGGAGGGCGTTTCCGGTGTGGAGAGGAGGTGAAAGGAGGGAGAGGCTGGTCCAAGTCATGGGTCTTCTGTCTGCCTGGGAATCTCAGCCAACCCCAGGCCGATTCTCCCTGAATCTCAGCCACTCCCTTGCGCCAGCAGGAGCCTTCCAATCCTGCAGGTCCACGCACAGTCTCTAGATGCCTTTGGTTTCTATGAAAGAAACACGCTTGCATTTGCCTTAGTTAAAAACCAAAATGGATCAAGGAGGCAGGAACTCTCGAAAGCGTGTTAGGCTGGAAACTCATTCCCATAGTGCCTCAGGTGTTCATCTGCCACGGACAGGTAGGTGGCCCTCATGCTGGGAGAGTACTGTGGGAGAGAGGGGAGGGGACAGTCAGAACAGGGTCACACATCACCCGTTAAACCAGACACCGTACTAGCAAAAATGCTGGAACTTCTGACGAAGTGCGAGCTGGGCCAGCCACAGTGGCCGGGCACCAAGTTTCAATGTCAAGGCCTCGTGGGGATTATCAGAGGATCGTCGAGTGGCCTGGGCAGGCCTCGTGTTTGCTGATGCTTCCAACCCTGGGGCCATCAGGACGTCTGGGTCCCAGCCTCAAACTCAAGATGCACACACCGACCAGCCACCCTAATGCAGCAGTGTGCTTAGGAGCCCGCCTAGTGAGCAGCCAGGGGGCACTGGCCCACTGACTCAGAGAGCCAGGTTCAAATCCCAGCTGTGCACCTTACTCATCCCATGACCTCGGCGGAGGTTCTCCAGTCGCTCCAAGCCTCCGTTTCCCCACCTGCACGATGGCCCTAAGAACACTCAACTCTTCCGCTGAAAGGATGGAGTGATATAAAGCAGGCAAGACCCCTAACACGGGGGTTCTCAAACTTGGCTGTGCATCAGAGACACTGCGGGGGCAGGGGTGGGTCTAAAAGCATTCTGAAACCTAGGCCACACCCACCAGTATTTTTTTTTTTATGTGATAAAACACACATAACATAAAATTAAGCCTTTTAAAGTGCCACCACCAGCACTGGCCAGTGACCCATGAGGCTCCTCCTTGACCAACTGGCATCGAGTAGTGCAAAAGCAAATCCATCCATAAAGCTGGGAGAGTCATGCTGTGGGCTACACCTGCATGCAGGTGGGTACATATCTCCTGGGTCCTGGGACCCTGCCTAAGAAAAGTGAGGAGGTGGAGAGCAAATCAAGCAGCTCAGTATCTGCTACTACTAGATAAAAGTGACTTGGGGCTTCCCTGGTGGCGCAGTGGTTGAGAGTCCGCCTGCCGACGCAGGGGATGCGGGTTCGTGCCCCGGTCCGGGAAGATCCCACATGCTGCGGAGCGGCTGGGCCTGTGAGCCATGGCCACCGAGCCTGTGTGCCTGGAGGCTGTGCTCCGCAACGGGAGAGGCCACAACAGTGAGAGGCCCACGTACCGCAAAAAGAAAACCACAAAAGTGACTATGTCTGAATCAGCTTAATAGCAGGTGCTCAATAAATGTTATCACTATTATTGCTTATTATCATTATTATTACTAGCTGTGTAGCTCTTACCAATTCACATTAATCCTCTTAGACTCAGTGTCCTCGTCCGTAAAACAAGCTTGACACTACTGGAATGATCTAAGATCGTCATGGTGACTATATTACAAGATTAATTCATTTAAATTCGCTGGCAAATTGCTCATTGTTAGGACAGGAGAGATAAGTTGTTTTCTCCTTTTGATGTGAGAAAAATAAGACTATAATTATCTTACAGAAAAAAAAAAATAAAGTGCCACCAATATTTTTCTGTAAGTTCTTCCAAGTGCAGCCAAGTCGGAGAACCACAAAGTTTAAGCGTTCATTCACAGATGTTAGCCGGCCTCTGCTCGGAAGTAGAGATGCGGCTTCTTAGGTTAGCACATCTCACATCCCACGTAGGACCTGAGATTCTGCATTTCTAACAAGCTCCAGGTGCTGCTGGGCAGCTAACTCCAAGTAGCAATGGTCCACAGGACCCTGACTGTTTCCTAGCGCCAGGGATGTTTCCGGGGTCCAGGTCTAGGCCGTTCACACCAGAGATGGACGAAGGCTTCCTGCTGGGGGGCAGGGAGTAGGGGCCTGAGACCCCTTAAACCAGTGGGTCTCAACCAGGGGCAATTTTGCCCCTGCCCAGGGACATCTGGTAATGTCTGGAGGCATTTTCAGTTGTCATGGCTGGGGGCTATGGAGTAGGGATGCTACTGGCATCGCGTGGGTGGAGGCCAGGTATGCAGCTAAACCTCCGACAGTGCACAGGACGGCTCCCGTGACACACAACGCTCTGGCTCAAAGTGTTGGTACTGCCGAGTGAGGAAGCCTGCCCCTGAGCAGGCTTCAGGCTTTACCTGGGAACAGGTTAGAAATGCAAATCCCCGAGCCCCACCCCAGATATTCTGAATCAGAAGCAGGGTGGACCCAGCGGCCTGTGTGTAATGAGTCCCCCAGGCGATGGATGTTCAAGAGTGAGACCCTCCTCCTTGACGCAGTATTTTCCAAACTTGCTTGATGACGAGGAGGTTCACCCGGGCTACGTCTTCAGTGAAGTCCCTGGACTGGTATTTTTAAACAAGTGCCTGGGTCATTTTTGTCCATCGGGCCCAGGATACGGTGCCTGGAAAGACAGGAGGTGATTCCTAGAAAGCAGAGCTAAGGGAAAACACATTTCTAGCCGAGGGAAGAGGCTGTAGGTTCCGATGGCCTGGCTTGATATCACCCACCTTAGTGAAATCCCCAATGTCCCAGAGATGGAACTGGCAGGGGGAGGGATTTTCCGTACACCAAATGCACTGGGTACTGATGAATAATATTTAGAGCAGGTGCAGGGGGAGAGTGGGGAGCGGTCAGCTGTGTCCTCTTTATCGGGGCTCACGTCCGTATCCTCCACGCTGTGGCTTCCTTGGTCAGCAGGCTCAGCCGTCTCTTCATGCCTCTTGCATGTTAGGAGGGGAGGGGGGTCATCTCTGGGGCAGGTTGAGCTGGGTAGGGCAGGGCAGTCAACTCTGCCAAAGCAACTGGAGTTTCTGGGCTGGTCTCCATTATAGGGGGGGGGGGAGGGGGTAGTCTGTCCTTGTCCTTGCAAATAAGGTCAGTTCTTGATTATCTCTGCTAATGTCAGGGAGAGTGGCCTGGATCTTTCAGAACAGAAGGTAATCCGAAATTCATTTTTATTTGGCATCCCAGTGCCTCGAGTAATTTATTTTTCACAGCAGCGGATCTCCCCTAATTATGTTGTACTGAGATTAATATTAAAATCAATCTGCATTCCTGGCTTGCATGTTAGGAGGGGAGGGGGGTCATCTCTGGGGCAGGTTGAGCTGGGTAGGGCAGGGCAGTCAACTCTGCCAAAGCAACTGGAGTTTCTGGGCTGGTCTCAATTATAGGGGGGGGGGGAAGGTGTAGTCTGTCCTTGTCCTTGCAAATAAGGTCAGTTCTTGATTATCTCTGCTAATGTCAGGGAGAGTGGCCTGGATCTTTCAGAACAGAAGGTAATCCGAAATTCATTTTTATTTGGCATCCCAGTGCCTCGAGTAATTTATTTTTCACAGCAGCGGATCTCCCCTAATTATGTTGTACTGAGATTAATATTAAAATCAATCTGCATTCCTGGGGCCACAGCAGCTGGCGGGAGGGAAAAAGGAACCCCAGAGGCTTCTGGTATAGAGAGAAGCCAGCTTGGGATTTCAAAGGTGCCAACTCTGGAAACAGGCTTTGACCAGCCACTCTCCCTGCCTCAGGCCCCCAGGGAGCGAGTAAGGCCTTGGTCTAGTGCTGTTTGTAAAAGGACAGCAGGGAGGTGCTCTGGGCAAAAAGCAGCAAGGTGGGGAGAGCCAGAGGGTCGGTCTGGGCACGACACTGCACACATTTGGGGCCGGTCATCCTGCGTGGTGGGCGGTGCCCTGTGCTCAGCAGCACCCCTGGCCTCCACCCGCTAGATGCCAGTACCAGCGACCCCCCCAGGTGTGACAACCAAAGATGCCTCAAGACATGGCCAAATGTCCCCTGGGGGAGCAAGCTCCCTCCTGGGTGAGACCCAGTGCTCCAAGGTAAGGCTCAAATGTCACCTCCTTAGACCCCGAAGGAGCAGTTCCTCCCTCTAGGTCCTAAAGCATCTTATGGCACTTATTACAACAGCTTTCTGAGTCTCTCCCGCCCCGCCCCCTGCAGGTTTTCCATGTCCTGAAGATGGGGGCTGGGTCCCCATCTCTCTTTCCGGGGTCAGGCACTGTGGTTTTCCCCAGGCACACTCGCTGGATTCCCTGAGTGCACGTGAACACTGCGGTTCTCAGGGCCAAGGTCTATTTCATTAGTCCCCCGTCCTTGGGGCTCCAGGGCTCCTATTTCACCAACTAGATGGCTCCTTCCAAACTACCTGGATGGGGCAGGTGAAACACCTCGCCCAGCCCAGTAAAGGCAGGGGCTCCTTCCCAGACAGACCCCTGGCTCAAGAATGCAGACTTCAACCTGGTCTTAGAGCCCCCTCTTTCTTACATAGGCCACGCCTCTGTGGAGGAGGTGGGGTGGGAGGAAGCTTGAGTGACAGCAGAAGGAGGGGCTAAAATAAACACGTGGCTCAGTCTTACAGCACTTACTGCGTCACACAAACATACTTTTGTAAGGATCAATTTCTCCAATGCTCCAACCACCTATGTGGCGTGCTATTACATCCCCATTCTACAGATGTGGAAATTGAGGCACAGAAAGCTAAAGTACTCACTCGCCCAAGGCCACAGAGGTCATAAGCAATGAGCTGGCATTGGAACCCAGGCATTTGGTACTGGAGTCTGTTTTCTTTTTTCTCTTTTGGCCATGCCACGATGCTTGCAGGATCTTAGTTCCCCGACCAGGGATGCAACCTGGGCCGCGGCAGTGAAAGAGTTGAGTCTGTGTTTCTGAACCTCAGCTGTCTCTATTCGCAGCTCTGTCTCAGCCAGTGGTATGAGGCGACCCTCATACCTCTCCAGGGGCAGACAGCTGGCACACCCCTCACACCCTGATGTTGTGTCTAGGTCCCCTGGCTGGCGTGGAGGGTGGGTGGGAAGTGCAGACCCCACTCGGGCACAGCCTGGGGATGTCAGGAGCTGCGGCGGCGGGGTAGGGGGGTTTGGGGCAGGCAGGTCTGGTATTAGCCCTCCCAGACCTGCCACCACAGGGGCTCCTGACCCTCTAGCCTAGGGTGTCAAGGTAAACGTAAATCTAAAAAGAAAAAATTTCCCTGGTGCAAAAAGGGAAAGAAATGCTTCTTTGAGCAGCATTTCCTTTAGAAAGCTGATCATCATAAATTACTCCTCTGTCCCTTTGAGAGGTGTATAAACCTTTTTAAAGGCCAACGAAGGCTCTCAGCAGTTTTACAATCCAGGAACGTTTTCTTCCGGGGCTGGGAGCCATCTCTGAAATGGTAGCATCAGGGAGACTGCCCCCATCTCCCTGGCAGTTAGTGAGCCCTGATGGCCACACAATTACCAGGTGGATTTAGGAAGAACCAATGTGACAAATGGTGCTGCCGAGTCCTCTTGTTGGTGGACAGGAATCGCTTATCTTGAGGACAGGTATGGAATGTGGTGCATCATCTATCTGCCTGGCTGTGTAGGATGAGCTCTGTCTTTACAATCCCCTTAGCAGATAGCCTGCGATGTGCATGGCAGTCTGGTTTAATGCTTATCTGGTAACAAAACTGTTTCATTCTTTTCTACCTCTGTGGCGGGGAGTCACTGGGTCCGCAGGAGGTTTTCTCTTCAATTATTCCCCCCTCCCCACAAGGGCAGTGCCTTTGCCCCGGGAGACCAGGTTACCGTGGGCGGAGGGGAGCCTCTTCCAATGAGCGGCACATTCTCGTAGCGTGGGTTCCCACCGAAGAGCACAGCTTGGTTCCTGCAGGGCCGAAAGGAGCGGGGAGTGCTCAGGCTGGGGAGGCCGGGTTGGGGGTGTCTGCTCAGATTTCTACAGGAGGGTCCCGGGGGTGTGCAGATGGGAGATGGAAAAGGACCGCGGATAGACCGGAGGGAGTGAGGGCAGGAAGATAGGGAGGCCTGTGGAGGAGCAGATGGGGCGATGGCGCCAGGAGCAGTGTGGCCTGGAGAAATGCAGCTTCTCGGGCCATCAACCTGCCCTGCAAGCTTGAGGCAAAAGACCTGACACCTGCAGGGGCTCTTCCTCCAGCACTAGATGCTCCCCGGGGGCCTTCCCACCTGGCATCCTGGCTGCAGTGAGGGGACCGCGCTGGCCTCGGATGCCTCCTCCCCACCCGGCTCTCTGGACCCAAATGTGCTGCCCGCAGATCCAGCCCGGTGTGTCGGGGGAGGTACCGGGGAGGCCCTGGGAGCCCTGCCGTACATGTACTCCGAGACGGGGGCATTGGAGATAGTCTGGGCCGGGGGCTGCAGGCTGGTCTGGCTGCCCAGGCCGCTGCTGTAGCTGCAGAAGCTGCGAAGCTGCCCGCGAGGGGGGCTGTGGGCAGCGATGCGCCGGGCCTGGGGGTTGAAGGGGTCATCGTCGATGTCATCGTGGTCTCTGTCCCTAGAATGATACGTAGGATATGGCCAGCTGTAAGGGGCGAGGGAGGCTCCAGGCAGTGCGGCCCCAGCCTGCTTCCCTATCTTTCCTCCCAGGACTCTCCCTCTGGCCACAGGTGTTTCCTTGAGGTTCTTTGATATTACTCTGCTCCATTCCCAACTGCACATACACCTCCTCCAGGCAGTCCACCATGCTGACCACGGGCACACGGACCCTCCCTACCCTGCTTCCTTTTCTGATCTACTCTGAAGACACTGAAATACCATCTTGTCTCTGTCTATCTCCTCAATGAGACTATAGGTGCCCTGGTGCTACAATATGTCCTTCTGGAATTCTGAAGCACCCCTCCCAGCAGCAGCATCGCACCGCAAAGTCCTGCAGAGGAAGAGGGGATAAGCAAAGGATGCCAGGCTGTGGCATGACGTTGTCACCATCCTTGGCCCTGCTCCTGCCCTGGCCCCCTCCAACCTCCTTTTGGGGTTCTGTCTGGACTTTCAGGGATGCTTGGGCAGAAATCCAGCCAGCCTGTTGGGGCTGAATGCCTGGTCCCCCTGCCGCCCTTCTCCATCCCAGGTTATCAGCTCTCAGTTCAGTCACAGAGCTGGGCCTCCTGCCTCCTCCCCCAGGAAGCCGCCCAGGCAGCCCACCTGGTGGCAAAGTGCTTCCAGGCTCCTGGCCCCACGCAGATCACGGTGGAGAAGGCGAGGGCAGCCAGCAGGGAGAAGAGGCCGAGGTACAGCAGGCCCTCGAGGCCGTCGTAGCAGATGCCAGTGAGGGCGTCCAGGTAGTCCTGGCAGAGGAAGAGGAACACACAGCTGGAGGGGGAGTGGGACACAGCCTGGGGTTTGAGCTGGTCTCTGAAAGCCCCTCTCCCCCAGCCTGGACTCTGGATCTCTGCCCCTCCCCCATCCCAAGCACCTTGAACAGTCCACGCTTCGGACCCCGACACAGTGGGGCGTCTCGGGTTCTCTCTACAAGCCTTTGCTGAATACCTACCGTGTGCTGGGCTCTGAACAGGATAGATGAGCTTGCAGGATAGGGGAGCCAGGGGACAGGGGGCATTTAAACTGAGGCCAGGACGGCAAGGAGTGGAGTGTGCCTTGAGCAGCTGAGGCAAAGCAGACAAGCTTGGTGTGTTCAGGAAAGAGGAAAAAGGCCAGCAGGGGACAGGTGAGATGTCACCAGGTCATGCTGGGCCTCGCAGGACAGGCGAGGAGTTTGAATTTTACACAAGGTGATGGGAAGACATGGGCAGGTTTGGGGATGGAAGGGATGTGATCCCATTCATTTTTTTTTTTTTTTTTGCGGTACGCGGGCCTCTCACTGTTGTGGCCTCTCCCATTGCGGAGCACAGGCTCCGGACACGCAGGCTCAGCGGCCATGGCTCACGGGCCCAGCCGCTCCGCGGCGTGTGGGATCTTCCTGGACCGGGGCACGAACCCGTGTCCCCTGCATCGGCAGGCGGACTCTCAACCGCTGCGCCACCAGGGAAGCCTGATCCTATTCATTTTTAAGACCGCTCTGGCTGCCTGGCTGCCATATATGAAAGGTAAGGGGGCAGGAGAAAGTGGGGACCGGCTAGGCGGTCACCGTTGTCACCCAGGGGAGCGGGATGGTGCTCGGACCAAGGCGGGAACTGTGGAGGGAGAGAGAAGTGGACGGAGCAGGATATATTTGAGAGTATAGCTGTGAGGACTTGCTGAGGGATTGGATGTGGAAGGGGAGGGAGGGTCCTGGGGCGACTCCCATGTTCTCAGCTCTGAAGTCAGACTGCTGGGGTCGCAAACCCAAGCCCTTGCATTGATAGCTCTGGGATCTTCAGTAAGCTACTTTTTAGATATACATATAGATAGATAGGTAGGTAGATAGATACATCTGTCTATCTACCTATCTATCTATCCATCCACATACATAGACACACACACACATGTTGCTTATCTATAAAATTTCCCATAAAATAACATGTATCTCACAGTAAAACTGTGAGGACTCAATGACATGTTGGATATAAACTGCACAGAACAAGGCTGAACACAGAACCAAGGACTCAGTAAACCGCAGCTGTGAACATTATTACGAATATTTGCTCGAATTCCACATGGGATGTGAAACATCGACACGCAGTGGCTTTCTGCTTTGGGGGAGAGAGGGCCTCACATACTCCCAGTGTGTTCCCTGCACGATTGTCTGATATTCCAAACCCCTGGAGATGACCCTGGCAATGAGAATGGGATGTCCACTTGCAATTCAGGAATTGGTCAGGTGGACCAGATGGCTGGGAGTCTGGGCAATGGGGAACAGCCACCCTCATATAGCTCAGGGCCCCCCAGCGTTCTAGAGGTAAACGGATCCAGCTCTCCTACCCGCACCCCCTGGTACCTTTCACTGAGGCTCCCCGGCTCAGCTACTGGAGAGAATCCAGAAGCCAGGCACCTCTTCTATCCCATTCTCTGGCCTGAAGGGAGCCCAGGCAATCACTCCCCCAGCCTCTGCAGCCTTCTCTCCTGGAAGATGTGGCCTGCTGGGGTGCCCCCCACCGCCTTCCACCCGCGCCCCCAGGGCCACCCCGGCACCTTGTGCAGTCCCCGGCAATCCAACATGGCCATCAGCTGGTGGAGGCTGGACTCAGATGAATTCAACAGGAGCTGGATTCTGAGCAGATCTTTCTGAAGCAGGAAGAAAGAAAGAGACAAACATGCAGACAGAGAGGCAGAGAATGAGCGCTGGGGGGAGGGCTTGTGGATAAAACCGCAAACCGCAGCTTGTGCAGAGAGGCCTTTAAAGCCAAAGGAAGCGGCTAGGCTGCCGGGAGGGAACACTTCCTTTCCACAGCCTGGTCTCCGAAGCCCGGCCCTGTGGGAGGTGGCCGGCCACCTTACCTCTGCTGTGGGGAAGA